CCCTCTGGAACTTTGATGTTTCTCCCCTCTGTAAATTTCGAAGTCAGCTAAGGGCTAGTGATAACTATCAAAATAAATAAATTTTAAAGAGATGAATAGTATAGCGATGTTCCGCCAATCGGAATGGCCCAATAAACTTTCGTTTTTTATTCCCTATGGTAAACTATTTCTTCTACCGTGATTTAAGTCGATCTTGGACCCACTCAAGTTGATGCATAGAACTTGAATTAATTCGTCTCACAGCCCAACGTTTGCTCATTCAAATAACTAGAGGTACAACAGAAATCACTAAAATTCAAAAAGGACGTGAGCATATCTAGGTAAAATTCAAACAAGGCAACTTTGTCATTTCTTATTAGAGATAATCTTTAATGAGAAGTGCTTGTTGGTTTAGAAAGGAAGAAACACGAATTATGCCCCTCTTTCCCCATGAACCATTAATAATACGCCTGTCTCAATGTCAGACTTTGACATTTACATGTTTACTTTAGCTGCCTTTTACTAAACTTCATAGCTATTTATCGAAATGTTTTCTTATGACAAAACAGAAACTTATCCATAATTTTACGTTAATACTACCGTTCCTGTATAATCTGTTCAGTCGGCCACTAGGCAGACTGACGGGAGAGGGATGAAGGAGGGTTGTGGCTCACACCACAGCTCACTATTGAGAAAATAGATGTATCTATATATAGAATTGGATAAGGAATACATGATTGGCTGGCTCGTTGACCAATAGTAACAGCGATGGATTCTTTACTGGTAGCCTTAGTGTAGAGGTAAAAAATCCATAGTTTTAAACATTAGGGGGGACTATACAAGCACACTGAATGCACTCTTCGAATACTTAATCAAATGAACCAAAAATATTAAATCTGTCATCTTAACTTTATGGATTATCAATGCTAACTCTCCTCCTTTCAGCACCTAGTTTACTAGATCCTTCCCGTCAAAGGCTCTTAAGCGCACCACCAAACGTAATACTTATTTAATGAGTTCAGTTTGATTGAACTCTTAGATTAATATCACAGGCCAACTTCAGTGTACTCACAATCTGCTTGTTATTAGTAAAACTTTAAGTAACTTTTAGTGTTTTCCCTACCTCAGTTTCTAGCAGAGTTTCCTCCATTTCACGAACGTTCATCTGGAGGGATTCTCTTTCTCTTTCCAAACGCACTTGCATGGCCTCCATTTCATCATTCTCCTTTGCCAATTTGGTAGCAGACTCCTTGAGGTTCTTAATTTTCTCTGAAATAGCAAAATGGAGGATGATACGTTACACCCAGCGAGTGTTTCAGAATAAATGATTGTCCAGAATATGACCTACCGGCATTGTTACGGTTCTCCTTCTCTAGGGAGAGAAGTCTCGGTTCATTCTCCACTCTCCAATTACGAGTACTTGAAAGCTCCTTTTGGACAGCAGACAGTTTTGATCGAAGTTGAGCATCCTCAGTTTGAATTTCCTCGAGAATTTTCTCTGTTTCACTCAACTGCGTAGTTACCGATTTCAACTCCTGTTTGAGATCCAAGTTATCCACTTGGTACTGAATGAAAAGTATGCATTTTGGAGTTAGAGTTCATTGGAATATGTTTACTGCCACTAACAATCAGCGACTACTTACTGAGTCAAGTTGAAGTTGAATTTCATGTATTTGTCCAGTGAGTTGAGTCTTGGTTCTCTCAAGGCTAAGCACTCTCGCGTGTTCCGATTCGTACTGCTCGGTTAACTCATTAGTGCGAGTTGTGTGCCGACGTCTGTGACAGGAGACAAATAAGAAGGCAATAATTAATTCAAATATTATTAATCGAGAAAGTTGTCCCACTTAGTGTCCACTAAGGCATAGACTGCGTGGTTGCTGAATCAACACCCAACAGCAATATTAACTTGTGCGTGCGTGTGTGTGTGCGCAACATATGTCCGCTAGAGGTTATTTGTGTGCCCCGATTATAACTAAAACAAACTTAATGGAGCAATTTAGGGGCAGGTGCTTGAAATTAAGCGCTTAGCTTAGTTAGAAACAGCAAAATTATTTTCTTTTCTGAAAATTTCACAAATTACAGGCCAATAATTACAGGCTGAGAATAACCATACTGCAATATTTCAATTGAATTATCGATCACGATATCTACCATACCCATGACCTTTTATGTGATTTCTACTGGTTAGAGCCTTTATAGGTAAACGATTGACCACTTGTTATGCTACTCCTGTGGTAGGTTTTTTTACCTTTTCCGTCTGCTATAATTAATGAATGGCAAATCTTTGTTCGTTAATGAGATCATGGCAACTAATTACCACAAATTCTATCATTTTTCTACATTAATGTAGCTATAGTATTGAGTTCTTAAGTAATTAGTATTATAATCCATGATCAATTTTGAGCCGTAATAGTCTTAATTGGGTCTTATTTTCATCTTCCAGTAGTAGAGAGAAGAAAGACGCCTTTATACAAACTTTTAGTAATAAAATGGCAAGAAAAAAAATACGAAGAAATAAGAAATTCAGAGTGCCGATAGAGCATCTAAACTATTTTTTCCTTGAGCAATTTCTTCATCCAAGTCGTGCGGTGAGATTGGATCTTCCTATACGGACCTTAACTGTTTCATCACTACAGTTGTCTGGTATATTTAAATTCAGATATGACACTCTTCACAACATCTCCCTCAGTTGGTCAAGTGCAAAACCCCCTAGTGATGTGAGCTTCATTCCTGAAGTAGTATTATGCCACTTACTTAGCTTCATCAATTTCATTGTTGAGTTCAGCCACTTCACGTTCGTATTTAGTTCGAAAAGCAGCAAGTTCAGCGTTGGTTTTGGCGAGTTGTTGTTGGGCTTGATTGGCATTCTCGGCTTCCTCTTCTGCCCTGGCTTCTGCAGCCTCCAATTCCATTTGAAGGGTGGCTTGGCGAGATTGGAGATGAGTGTTTGACTGAAAGATGTAAGCGTTGCAATATGAGATTGATCTTTGACACAGGTCTATCCTAAGCATAAAGCCTCTATAACTTAAGGAGTTAAATTTCTTCATTGTGTACTGCATAGGCTTGAAGTGAAAGATAGAATTTGTGATACTTGTGCTTATTTATGAAATAACGCGTTCATACTTGCATGAAAGAACTTCCTAGTCACCTAGTCTCTGCTTGACTTCAAACTTGCCAATTGAGAAGTATTTAGATAGGATTTTTCCGAGTGTCGGCCATAAAAGAAATGAAAATTAGCTATTTTTAGCTCCATTCATTGTTGGGTTTCAATGAAAAAGCTCAAGGTAGATAAAGTAGTTTCAATTACTTTTGGATAGCAACCACTCAAAAGTGCCAGTTGTGGTTCCACTGATATACCTCACTTTCAGAGCTTTGATTGGAAGCTACCAGCATTCCCACTACCGTTTATGTAAAAATACAGGGATTGGTAGATATTGGGAGAAATTTATTCCAACCTGCTTGTGGTTTTGTTATTTATGCAAAAAGCACTATTTTCCTCGAAAGAAAACTAGCGGACTATGCTCTACAACTACAGTAGTGTTGTCATGTAAAAATACGGCCACAATGGTATACAAGGGAGGAAAACAGCTAATCCCCTCCTCCTTCTTGCCAGTCCCAAAATCCACGAAACACTTGCTATATGTGAATAATTAATCAAGATGTCCATTCAGAACTTTTTTCACCTTTCGTATAGGTACGCTCCCCATAATGAAAGCGCCATTGATGGAAAGAAAGTATAAGCCATCGTTAGTTAGTATGACTAAGTCACGTTTTTTTCCTAGAGAAGGAGCACTTACCGTAGTCTCTTCTTGAACCTGACGCTTCAGCTCATCAATCTCCTTCTCTGAAATGGTGGCTTGACGCTGAACGATATTAAACGAGGTTGTCAACTTGTCCAGGCTCTTTTGTCTCTCAGCCTCATCCGCTGAAAGGCTAGTGTATTTCGCATGGGCTTCGGCCAGCTGTTTCAATAAATCCTCATTTCCAGCCTTGAGACGAGTGTTCTGGGCTTCCAGGGCTTCGTTTTTATTTTCCAAAGACTCCTTCAAGATGAGGAAGAAACATATACTACGTTTAGTTATAATCATAAGTGTTCATTTGGCAAGGAAATTTGATACATTCAGGTTGTGAGATCACATCATAGAGCTCAGATGTGTGAGACACATAAACTGTTCCAATTTCTGGCCGTTTTGATCTCACGTTTAGTTGCTAAAAATCAAATGTATTACTAGACTGGTCCAATAAATACTCCGATTTAGGAAAGTTGGCTCATCCAGACCTCAGGGATGACCCGATAACTCGACACCATCTGGTTGTCAGACACACGTCCTACGAATGTGTTCTGCCAAGACTGTCTGGTTGGTTAAGTTGTCTATTTTGGTACAGTTGGGG